TTGCTCATGTAAAAAAAAATGTATGGCTAAAATATCAGAGGAAGTTCGCATGATGATCAATATTCAATTCTGGAATCTAGGCGACATGGACAAGCAACGAATGTTTATAACAAAATACGTCAAGGAAATACAAAAAATGAGAAGTAGACTAAGAAAAGATAATAAGACTGATCAAAAACGTAATCGAGAAGTCAACAGAGTCTACACTTTTTCAAATCCAGAAAGCAATGAGTTGGTGCAAGTGTGTCAGAAGTTTTTTTTAGATACCCTAAATATAAGCAAGAAAAGGGTGGAGACATCACTGAGAAAATTAACATCTGCTGGTTCACTGGAGAAAGATATGAGAGGAAGAGATGGTGACCACAACAAGGTCACCAGAGAAAGAGAGGAGCCAATTATTACTCATATAAAATTGTTTCCAGTCGTTGAATCACATTATGTGAGAAAAGACAGTCAATGGGAATATCTTCCTGAGTATCTGACTGTTCGGGAAATGTATAGAATGTATAAGATTTGGTGCGAAGAAAATAGCTCTCCAGTTGAATCATATGATTTTTATTTACGCACATTCAATGAAAAATTCAATCTTAAGTTTCATCGACCTAAAAAGGATGTGTGTGATCAATGCACCAGCTTTCAAAATATGCCAAAATCTCTATTGACTGAAGAAGATCTCGCAAATCAAAATAAGCATATTCAAGAAAAGGACATGGTGCGTTCAATGAAGAGGGAAATGAAAGAAAAATCCACAACAGATGCTTCACTTCATGTGGCAGCTTTTGACCTTCAGAAAACTCTTCTTTGTCCACATGGACAAGTGTCCTCCTTTTACTACACACAGAGGCTAAAAAATTTCAACTTTACAGTTACTGACATTCAGTCCATGCAAACCAGTTGCTATCTTTGGAATGAGGTGGAAGGGCGAAAAGGCTCTTGTGAAATAGCGACTGCAGTGTTCCGATACCTGTCCTCTCTCACCACAACAGTGAAGACTGTGCAACTGTTCTGTGACCGCTGCAGTGGGCAAAATAATAACAGAGCTATGATTGTGATGTTACTCTATGCTATGGAGGAGCTGCATTTTGATGAAATAGCACTCAATTTTCTAATTACAGGTCATTCTCAAAATGAGAATGACACAGCACATTCGGTGATTGAAAGAGCTGTACGAAAAGTGAACATTTATACGACCGACCAATGGGAAACTGCCATTTCAATGGCGTTTAAAAAAACAAAACCCGAAATAACTCTGCTGAAGCATGGAGATTTCGTTAATTTCAAATCAGCATCTGACTTCCCTAAATACGCTGGAATTTGGAAGAACAATATTACAATTCAAACTGGCTCTCAGACAGGTGAAAGGCTCTATTGGTCCAAAATTTTACAGGCAAAATTGAAAAAAACTGAACCTAGTATATTGCAATTTAAGTACAGTTACTTGGATGAGGAGCTCCAGAGAGTTGACCTTAACTCTTTGGTTCGAAAGTCAGCAAGATCAGCAACAAAAAAATACAGAATATAGAAAAGCTACCCCAGCTTTACCAGGAAAGGCTGCCAGTCAGCAGTGAGAAATACAAGAGTTTGACAACATTATGTAATAAGAATTTAATCCCTCCAAACCACAAGGCATTCTACGAAATGCTTCCAGTAGTTGATGAAAGTTAGATCTCATGAACAGAAAGACTATCTTAAAAAAAACATTCATTGGAACTTTTGTAAAATTAAGCCTATTTAAAACTGTTTTCATGCTGGGCATTTTTTTCTGTTTTCTTTAACCATCCCTGATTGATGATTTACAACAATTTCTTTCCTATATTTGTTTAGTAATTTAGTTGGTAATGGTTCTGAGAAGGTAAACAAATGCAGTAATCAGTAGCAACAGCAGTCTGATAAAAATTGGAGGCTAGATAACCATTGTCATCAAGATTCAGAAGCAGGAATATTTTTCATTGTAAAAATAAGCTCACAAAAAATGTCAAAAACATTGTAAAAGGGAATTATTGACGTTCATCAATGATAAGTTGCCTCTACAATAACATAATAAAGGGGCCCTAAGTCCAATAAAATTGTTTCTAGTCCAGAAAACTGAGAGCCAAAAAGGGTTAAGTCCAAAAAACTCCCAAAAAAAAAAATTGGGGGGGAGCACAAATTTTTTTATACCATTAAAATATGGTCTTCATTGTAACTTTGGTGGACCATAAAAACTAGACATCCTTGATGTAAGGTATTAGAGAAATATAAAAAAGAAACAAAAAAAAAACGTTTTTTGCGTTTTTCTCAAAACTAGAAAAATGGACTTAGCCCAATTTGGATTTCATGCGTCGATATCACAGGACGGAAATATTTTGCACCCGGCTGTTTGTTGGCAGAACAACGATACGCTAAAGTTAATTGATCGAATACAGGGAAGTATTTATTTATCATCTCACTTGCGAACATCGAGGTTTTGACGGAATTGTACGATCATGTTGTCTTTCTTAAATAATACCTTTTTCAATAAATGTTCATTTTACTTTTGCGTCTTTATTATATGTCGGGTTTTCATTTATTTTAAATTCGAAATTGTCCGAAATACTCCAACAGGTGTATAAGTACAATAATCATAATAATAGTACTTACCAGGGAAGTTTAATACACACGATGTGTTTGTTAAGGGCGTCGTAACTCCCGTTTTTTTAATTTGATTGTTTTACATTCTGCTTAAAAAACAACGTCGTTTTGCAGTCATCTAACGTAACTCTCGCGACCAAATCTTTTTTGTTTTGTATGACATCGTCTTGGCGCAATTTATTGCCGACTGAATTTTAATTGTGTTTTAGGATAAGTTATTTTCTGTTTGTTGGTTTCTAAACTTTACAAACTTGGGTAGCAATTACTATTAATGTGAGATTTGTGCTTATGAACGATTGAATATCGCGACTGGATTTCCGATATCTGAGAATGCGTACTTCTCTTTCAACATTAATTTTCAGGATATCAGCGTTCATGTGGTCGAATAAAAATTATTTATCAAATGGATTGGTATTTCGAGACACTCTTAAAATTATTTGGGATCCACTATCATATCATTCGTTTATTTTTTATATTCATGTTTTTTTCAAGAATCACCCTCGTTATATTTCGTGTACCTTAGCAAAAGAAAACTCGTTGGTGTCATCGTTCCTATTAGTGTAATTGAAATATATGGAAACCTCGCAAGTGGCGTTGTGATGCGAATATTTGATACTAGGTCAGCTGCATTACAAAGAGTGCTATTTATGAATGCTGAAAGTACATGGCATTACTAAACATTTTGCCAATATATGATGTTTTCTGCCCGATTTAAACTAACTCGCACGCAAACCAAGGCATGTCGACATTTAAAAATTACTTGTCTTTGGGTAAGCTCTGAAATAGTATAATATAGGATTTTCAAAGTGATCTTGTGTAATATTTTCGTGAAAAAAGTTTGAAAGGAAAGTAGGTCAACCTATCTCCTAAAACAGGGGAGTATCCTGCGCAATATTTCGGAGGGAACATAGATTAACCTATCTTTTAACACAGCGGGTGGCGACTTTCAAAGTGGTTCAAAATCACAAATTAATAATTATCAGATTAGGTTTAGGGATAAATCGAAAAGTTGAATTTCCAGCGCACGTGCACCCTAACCCTAATTAGTTGATTGCTATTTATATTTTGGGGGGGGGGGGAGAAATTATTTTGCAGGGATTTGTACAAATGATCCACCCTATAACTGATATGGTTTCCAGCCAGCATGTATCAATCGTTGTCTGTTAGATGGAAGGAGTAACAAATGTGAAAGCCTTTGCTGTTCACGTGAGTAAGCAACTGACACCCTGATACATTGCATGAAAGTTTTGTCCGCGGCAGGTGTTAGCAGATGTCCTTTGTTGCCGATGAATTCGCTTGTTTTAATTAAACATGAATTCGCTTATTAAGGGAACTGGGTTAACGGAAAGGCTTCTCTTTAATTCATAATATTAACCGGAGGAGCGCTTTTTCGAGTATCTATGCCTTTTAAATGGGTTATATCATTATAGAAAGGCTAGGGCACCTAACTTGTTAAAATCGGCAAAAGCACTTTCGCACTTTTTTTTTCGACTGCGAAGCATTTTCGCACTCATAATTCGCTTAGAGTTAACACTGCTTTCCACCACATATGATTACTATAAAATGAGAATCCCTTTTTAATTCAGGAAATGATTAAAAATTGATAAGCAATCATAAAAAGACTAAAAAATATGATTGGTAATTGGCTTGATTTTGGATAACTAAATATTTCACTTGAAGCGCCCCAGCAATACAAATAAGGAAAACAGATTTTGTGTGAATGATTACTGATTGTCAATGTGATAAATTGAAGGTACGACTATGATTGTAAATTTGAGAGATTTAATTTGATTTTGAATGTTCAAAATGGGTCTGATTAACTGCATAATATATTCAAATTAAATTCAAATAGTGTGCTCATATGTTACTTTCAAGTGGGTTTTTTCACTTAAGTTAAGCAAATTTTACATAAAAAAAATGAAACAGTATAAATAGGATTCAAGCTCACTGAAATCAGCATTCTCTGAAGTGATTGCATTCAGGGAAGACTGCAATTCAACAGAAACATTCAGATATTTTCCCCTTGGCATTCCATACTGTAGACACCATAACATGGTCATTCCAAGACTGTAAGTCAGTACTACCTTAAATAATTGTCACGAATATGTTAATAATAGAAATTTCAAATTAAATAGGATAGGATAGCTGGATAGGTTTTACATATTTATCCCGAGGGAGAGGAAGTCAGATAAGACGGCTCAATCATATGGCGAACCACGGCCTCTCGTCCGGTTACCAGTCCAGGTCGGGTATGGATTAGTTAGCTAGTTATTTGTTTTCGGGTGGTGGGTGGAGGAAGCCGTAATCGACCAGCGGTTATGTGAACCACACTACGGCGGCGAGAAGTCCAGCAATCAACTTGCACATGATCATCCCCGCATGGGATTCGAACCTGCGAACCCACGAAGGGTAATCTGAGATGCGGTGGCGAGCGTATTCCTAACGCTTAGCACGATGCGCCACACCGCCGAGCCAATAAAAATTTAAATTTTGAAATTGAAAGTGCAAATGTTATCCTAAAAGTTGAACAGGATTTGAACAAAGTACAATAGAGGGCAGATTTTATGCACTGCATTTAGGGACCGACAATGATGAAATTAGTAGAGAAACATAATATTATACACTATAGGCTACCAAAAAAATTTAAATTATATTTAAAATCATCGTACCAAAAAAAATTAAGCAGTTACAAATAGATGTCAACAATCAACAAAACATTAATTTTTTTTATTTGATTTCTGTACACCTGGATATTGTTGAAACCGATTAGGCAATTTGCTATTATTAAAATCATCAGCCTATATAAAAAAATAAACAAGCAGTTACAAATAGGTGTAAACAATAACAATATGCTAAATATAATCAACAAAACATTTATTTTTTTATTCCATATCTGTATACCTGGATATTGTGGAAACTACTTGCCTCTGAATCAGAGGCACAGCCAGGATTTTTTTATTAAGAGGGGTGGGGGGTGCGTGAAATTGAAAAGTGCGCCAATAGTGCAACTCATGACATCGTAAGGCGTTTAAAAGAACTGAACAATGTACATCATTCAAAGCGAAAACTGTTGAATAAATTCCTGACTTTTGCGTAACCTCCCTTTGCCAGACGTCGTTAGATAAATATTCTCCTTGACATATTTTATCATACTAATTGTTGACCAATAATCCAAAGGCTGGCTGTATTTAGAAATAAAACGATGAAATCATAAAATTTATTTTGAGACAGAGGTACAACTAGTGAATGTCGGTGGCATTATAATCTTCTAAATACATAATAATGAACAGCTCACATGTAGCATCGATTGTATGGCAATACATGGAATGCAAAACTGTTAATTGTTAAATTTAATGTTGATCAAGTCAATTTTTTATTGCCATCCAAAAAACATATTGACTGTACATGTGCCATGATTAGTGGGTGGCAAAAGCGAATTTTCAATCTCATAATTCAATATTTTTAACAAACAGTCTAATAACGAATATTTTTGCATAGGATTGATATCACAGTTCCAATTTCAAGCGAACAATATCACCATTACCGTCCCTGGGATACGGATATTTATGAAGCTAATAGTTGACTTTTTTATGCTTTGGCTTTTCTTTCCAGTCTGTGTTATTTTTGTAATAAACAGTGACTCTCTTACGATAAATGACATTGTGGTTTGTTCTATAAGCAAACGGTAGAACACTCTTATGAAGAACATTTTCAAGTGGGGAGGGATTACAACCTCCGTTACACCCCTCCACAAGGGTTTTTCCACATAGCCCTCCAATAGACGGACAGAAAAATTGCTTTCCTGTGGGACAGTTTAGCACTAATATGCACTCATAATTTTATATAGTTAGAACCAGGTCATTTTGAGGTAGTATCATACTCACAGAATTAACTATTCTTGTTAACCAGAAAGGGGGAATTTGGAGTTCAATATCAGGCATAAATAGGGACTGCTTCATCTCACTTTGGCGCCGAGTACATTATAAAATATCAACACAGTCATAAAGTTAACAAAGATTTTTTTTTAAAACGAATCATGCAAAAAACAAAGCAGACTTTAGAAAAAATAAATTATCGGTAGGCATAGCCGCTCAATAAGAAGGCCCCTCCAAAAACAGGCCAAAAAATTGGGTTCAGAAAAGCGACTTAATAGCCAGGAAATATGGTACGGTACCTACACAACTTATTTACAGAAGACTACAGCCTTGACAATGTAGAAAACAAATTGTTATTCATGATTTGCATTTGTAGAAGAGTGATGATAACTTTGTTAAGGGTTATGTAAAACTTAGTATAGTGCTTTATACTTACATTCTTAAATGGATAATTCAATTTATTTCTGAAAATGATTTGTTTGAAAAATCCATGAAAACTCCAGCTGATGGATGAATAAGAATGTTGTTTGGTGTTATGTTAACGTCTTCTTCAATGATAACTGCCAATAGAAAAATTAAATTCTGAAATTAGGCAGAACTCAGGAACTGTAAAACTGAATGTGACAGAACAGTAGGACAGTCAGACAAGGAAGGTAAGTCAGTAGGAAAGGCAAGTCATGCGAGACATAGGCCTACTATAAAGCCTTTTTGCAATATTTTTAGCACTTGCAGATATTTTAATCGTTTATATCTTGTCTTGACTAAATTGCATCATATTGTGCTTATGCGACAACTTTTTTAAATTTATCAGCGACTAAAATACTAAAGACACACGATCAAACATGCGTCTATCTTAAACAATAGGAACAGACCAAAAAAATACGTATTTTTTTGAGAGTGAAATTCAAATGTGACAGATTTTCCGCGTATTGCGATATAACTTTGTATTTCGGAAAATGATGTACTTAAAAATGGCGGCGATATCCTGGATTTGGTAATCTATATTCCCGCCCTTTCTCTTTTTTGCAAGTATGAATTCTTGCTGGTTCGGTGGACATCAAAGTTTTATATTTCAGGTTTACATGTGCGTTCACAACTGCAACAGCTGTAAAGGATTAATTTCAAACCCAAATTAACATATGCATTGGCTTTAATATTACCTATCAAGATTTGTAAATTTACCCTCCTAATTTTAAGCGAATCTGGTATAATCATCGATACCTGGGATGCAGATATTTATGACAATAATTACCTCTTTTATGCGTTTCTATGGTGTCTGAATTATTTTACAGATAAACCTCGCAAATCTGAGATTGTGCCAATCCTGAATGTTGATTTGAAATAGTGATTAAATAATTCGGCAATAAACGCATTTCTGCATGGTCATAAGACGAGATAACGTTAACAGACAGCACTTCTTAAAGGATTTTACATTTGCGACTTAATGCTAAAAAAGGGGCTCGAGTGCTTTTGTGCCTAATAGAGGGTCAGGCGCTAATTGTAACTAATTCCCTCAAGTTTCAACGTTTTTTTCAACAAAACAATACCCCGGCAATAATTATAGCTAAAATGTTAGTAATTCAGTAATTCACAATTTTATTTACGGAACTTGCAAATTCACCAGTTTCTTGACGATTTTGATAATGTCACGCCCTAATTATTATTGCAGAAAATACTCAAAATATACCGAATGTAATCATTTCCGATGATAATAGGCGCAATTCGTGAACGAGACAGTGTGCGTTGTTACATCGAAATTCACGATTGATTTTACGCTCTACTCTTGTTCACGATTTCAACACTCCACCCGCCATGCATGCCAGTAGAAGGATTATGACCTGTCATTTCTTTTCTGGATATAGCTTGTACGTGTTAATATACCATGTGCGGTCTCTCGGAAGGGTCAATTTATCTTTTATTTTCAATAATCAATTTTATGTGCGGGTCATACATGGAACGACTAATGACATGCAGCCAATCATAAGGAATTTAAAATCTGGGATATTTATTTGGATAGTCTTTTTATTTTAACGCTTCTAAAATTAGGGAGCTTTGTTGGTTCCTTTTTGACAAAGTAGGGAATTGAAACAATACGAATATTTTGAATATTTTGCCCAGTCCTACATGCGAGGTTATGATATTAAATGCCGCGAATACTTGTGAGCATATCACTGGACGGAAATATTTTGCACCCCGCTGTTTGCAGAACAACGATTCACCAAAGTTGATTGATCGAATACATGACAAGTATTTATTTATCATCTCACTGGCAAACATCAGTGTTTTGACAGAATTGTTCGATCATGTTGTCCTTCTTAAATAATAACTTTCTCAATGAATGCTTATTTTACTTTTGTGAATTGATTATGATATGTTGATATTTCATTTATTTTCAAATTCGAAATTGTCCAGAATACTCAAACGATGCGTAAGTATAATAATAATAGTATAGTGTAATCGAGTAACCAACTTACCCAAGGGGAAGTCTAATGAACTTGATGTGTTACGGCGTCGTAACCACCAATTTGTTTTGCTATTAAATTTGATTGTTTTACCTTCTGCTTAAAAGACAACCTCGTTTTACAGTCATCTAACATAACTCTCACGACCAATCTTTTTGTTCTGTATGGCATCACCTTAGCGCAATTTATTACCAACTGAATTTTAATTGCGTTTTATGATAAGTTATTTTCTGTTAGTTGGCACTGATAACGAAGTGATCATCTCCTAAATGGGGAGAGGAGGGACTAATTCAATGCATATTCTTTCGAACGAGGAAGCGTGTTATACTAAAGTGATATCAGTGACGGATGTTATTTTGCACGTGTTTGTACAAATGACCCCTCTCCCTAGCTATGGCTGAGAGTAACTAATATCAATTCCTGCATGTAACAATCATTGTCTGTTAGATGGAAGGTGCCGCTGCTCGATAACCAGTATTGGATTCTCGCGTCTCCTTCACCCTGAAATATGGCCTATTTAATATTTAATTTATTGTAATTGGCATGTTTGTGCCTATTTTAAGTATGGTGAGAAATAAACTACTGGAGTAACACAAATGTGCAAGGCTTTGCTGTTCACGCGAAGAAGTACGCTTTGCAACTGACACGGGTGGTTGGTAGCACGAAAGTTTTGTTCGCGACAGGTGTGCTTAGGCAGGTGTCCTTTGCGTACGGATGAATTCCCTTGTTTTATACAAGGATTTAAACGAAACATTCCGCTAACGGAAAGACTCCTCTTTTTAATTCGGAAGGAGCGTTTTTTCGAGTATCCATGCTGTTTCAAATGAGTTAAACAAAAGCTAGGGCACCTAATTTGTTAAAATCGGTAAAAGCACTTTCGCACTTTTTTTTCAACTGCGAAGCACTTTTGCACTCTTAATTTCCTTAGAGTTAACACTGCCCGAAGGTTATTATGAGGTAGCTAAAATCGTTACTGAATAATTCACAATTTTATTTACTGAATTTGAAAACATTTTGATGTTGTAAATCGACGCTGTTGCTCTTATGTAAAAGATAAAATCAAATACAAGCGATCACGTGTATGATCAGAAAATCACGCTCTTTATCGTGAGAAGTTAGCATGGTTTGTAGGATTGTAGCTGTTGGAATTACCGACAAGTCAGCATAATATCATCTCGGCGCAAATGAGCCGATTTTTTGTTGCGATCTGAGTTATGCGAGTATAAGCCGGCCCTTAGTTTGCCAACTGTTTTTTTGGGTTTTAAACTCAGCTTATATGCGAGAATATACAGGTTTTCCTGAGCCATTATTATTCAGTTCATGTCGAAAGTGCCGGTGGCTATTAAAATAATGGTGAGTACATATAGAAGTCAAGACAATACAGTAATCACTTTTGGAAGGGATCAAAAATTTACAAGATCATGCATTTTGCCGGGACAAAGCAGAGGTCTCTGCAATTGAACGCAAAGTTATTTGAAGAATTTTGACCAGTTGTATGTTAAAATGTACATCAATTTGTAGGAGTGGAAATGAATTTTTTGAAAATTTTATTAATCAATGTTGGCATAACATCGAATAAATTGTCGTACAACGAAGTTATAACAAACTTCAAAATTGAAGGTTTTTTTAATAGTTAAATTACCATAATATCGATAGTGAAACGAAACTTTTTATGTCCGTCAGTCTGTCCATACGTGTATTATAACAATTTGGACACCAACAATCAATAGTAAAATGAATGCATAGATCAAATTATTCTTGTATAAATTAGACAATTTAATCATGACATATGAATGCCTCGATGCGGCTTTGGATTAAATTATTCTTTAAATTATTTTGCTAATTTGATTCTCATTTTTCACCGATCTATACTGCCCTATGCGATTACACATATGTATTTCCGAACTATTTTTATTTAGTTCAACGTTGATAGTCCAGATGATGCTTATTAAAACAATGATTCGTAAATACAAAGGTCGGACCAGTCGGTAAATATAATAATTATTTTTGAAGAAGATCAAATGGTTACAAAATTATACAAATTATGTTTTGATTTATAGGTGTCGAACTGATTATTTAATAAATTTTTGTGAATCCATGACATCGTTTAAATTGTCGCAATTTTGTCAAAACAAAGCATAAAATCAAAGTTTTTTTCTCAATAGTTAAACTAATATCGATAGTTAATAAACAAAACATTTTATGTCCATCAGTCTGTTCATATGTGTAATTATAACAATTGAACACAGCATCTTGGTTTTTTCTCAGAACTGCAACTTTCATATCCAAAGTTACCCTAGCACAAAGTTTCCCAAACTTTTTGGGCCGCGGACCCCTATTTTAGAATCCTAATTTTGACGGACCCCCACACAATCAATTTCAGTGCCTAACCAACGAGTAAAGATAATGTTTCATGTACAACACAACGCAAGCGACATTAATGTGATGAACTAGGTTGCTTTCACTGCGCAATTTTTCGATTCTCGGATCAATTTGTGACAAGCAAACCTATCGTTGCAAAAGGATTTTAATTGCCATTTCTGACAGCAATGGATATTCGTCCGCAACGCTCAACCAAAAATATGCAATTTCTCTTAAATTGAAATCAATCATTAAATATTGATCAGACTTTTTTCCTATCGTTGCGGACCCCCTGTGCAGATGTCACGGACCCCGACCCCAGTTTGGGAAACCCTGCTAGCAGACATCTCTCTCGTTTTCGGAACGGTAAAGTAGGGTTGCCAAAAAACGATTTAACATTGCGTATGAAACGCGCGACGCGAAATATGAATGATGTGAGGAAGGCAGTTGCCAGATTTAAGCAAAAAGTAAAGTTTAGCGCATTCGGTATTCTAGTAGAAACTTCCCAATAACTGCTCCCAATTTCAAATAAAATATTTAGAAAGAACATATTGTGAAATCATCTCGGACAAATTTAACTTGTCAAACATGGTTCAATCATGAAATTTACACTCAAATTCATGAATATCGGTATTCTACCCAAAAAATTTGTGCTTTACAATATCCTGCCCCACTTTTGAATAAAATATCCTAAAAGAACATATTTTGAAGTCATCTCGAACGAAGTTTTGAAAAAATTGTATGTTGGAAACAGGTAAAAATATTTTGCCAAACATGGGCCAAACAAGAAATTTACATCAAAATTCATGAATATCGGTATTCTACCCAAAAATTATGTACTTTGAGATTGCTGGATAAAATTATACTTGAATATATTACGCAAGTTTATCATGTGGGGCTTATAAATGCCTTGAGGCTCTGAGGGGGCATTGAATTAAATTATTCTTGTATAAATTACGCAAGTTTATCATGTGGGGCTTATAAATGCCTTGAGGCTCTTGAGGGGGCATTGGATTAAATTATTCTTGTATAAATTATGCAAGTTTATCATGTGGGGCTTATAAATGCCTTGAGGCTCTGAGGGGGCATTGGATTAAATTATTCTTGTATAAATTATGCAAGTTTATCATGTGGGGCTTATAAATGCCTTGAGGCTCTTGAGGGGGCATTGGATTAAATTATTCTTGTATAAATTATGCAAGTTTATCATGTGGGGCTTATAAATGCCTTGAGGCTCTGAGGGGGCATTGGATTAAATTATTCTTGTATAATTTAATTCATCTGATGCCGCATCGATACATTAGTCTACTTTTACTGTTTTAGTATGAATAGTTGGTTCCAAATTTAAATAAAATTAAGTGACAAGAGTGTCCAGACATCCCGGAAAGGAGGGGTGTCTGTTCATCGGTAAAATGGGTTTCTCTGAAACGAGACACTGTCGCTCGATCTGTAAAGTCAGGAAAGTGTGCCGTACTGATAGGATAGGATTTACATATTTATCCCAGGGGGAGAGATGGCGAACCACGGCCTCTCGTCTGGTTACCATTCCAAGTCGGGTATGGGATTAGTTATATTGTTTGTTTTCGGAAGCATGGACTTGGTGGTGGAGGAAGCCGTAACCGACCAGCGGTTACGTGAACCATCCAATGACGGCGAGGAGTCCAGCAATCCTCTCGCACATAACCATCCCTGCACGGGATTCGAACCTGCGAACCCACGCAGAGTAATTAGAGGTGCGGTGGCGAGCGTATTGCTAACGCTTAGCCCGTTGAGCCACACCGCCGCGCCTGATACTGATGAAGGGATGATGCTGTAGCTGTGTAGAGCACAGTCCTATATCAAACCCCTGCAATCACCTTTCGACTACTTACAATTTTTGAGTTGTTTTCCTATTTCATGTAGTAAAATCCAGATCTCCTTTTCAGTGAGAGCTGATCCACGAACTTCAACAACATCTGACAGATTCACAGACACATTCTTCCACATGGTGTACGGTCAAACGGTATCAGTACAGTACTCTCCGATAAAACGGCTCAATCATATGTCCAACCAAGAAATCACGAAGTTGCTCAAAACCAAAGTGACTATAGTCACTTTGCTCAAAATGCTGTAATGGGATATCGTAAGCGTTCCTTGGTGACAATCGGTGAGTCCAGTCGCTTGTGTTCCGTGTTTATTTAGAGCTCTGCGTAACGATCCCGATACCAGAAAGGTCGCTGACGTATTGAGTTTGTTAACATATCTGCAGGCGCCATTACGGGAGACCGTCGCTATACTTTGCCAAGCTTTATTACTTATCGATTTTAATCGGTAAGTATGTTGATAGGTATTTGTCTGTTAGATGCATGCGATATCTCACGAAAGCGAAATTGAATCTGCTCCCGATTTTTCATGTGCATTCATCATATGTCGGACCAGAAGCCTATTGATTTTGGATGAATTATGTCGTATAATTAGCGATTTATTAATTAATTAGTAATTGGACACAAGGTGTCACTATGAAGTAAGAGCGCTGTTTTGGGGATCCCCTAACTTTCGATCGATAAGTCTTCGGTCTCTGGGGTCATGAATAATATATATATCTAAAAACTGTTACGCCACGCCCGGTAGATAGATACTGTACCTTATTTTCCGCGAATAAGTCGCTTTTCTATACCATAATTTTCGGCCTGATTTTGGGGGATTCGTCTGACTAGGCGGTTCTTCCTTCAAGAAATCTCTCATTGATACCAGTTGGTGGGCAATTTTTTCTTATAATTATAGAAGCACTGGAATATATAGGGAAAGACCAGCCACGAAACGAAGATGCTAGAAGAGATGCAAACAATAATATGCAATAGCTAGAATTCGTTTTCATGTTATCGTTTTGGAATGAATTTTCACAGAATAATTCAAAACAAACATGTGCAGATCTGTATGTATTATTATGTGAAATTTCACGAGATGAATTTGAACGATGTGAAGCAGCTACAAAATAAACCAGATGTGGATTGCAAGGCAGTTACAATTCGTAAACGTTTCGGAAATAATGTACTCACTGATGGAGATGCAGCAGACTTATATTTGAATGCCAGAGATAAATTTTATATCACTTTATTTTTCGCGATTTGACAACTTTGTAACTGGTATGAAGAAAAGAGGATAGGCATAAAGTAAAATTGCAGAGATATGATTTTACTTAATGATGTACCGCTACAACCAAATGTCTCTTTATCTGTTGACAAGGACGGGTATCAGCAGTGTGCACATTGATGCTTACTCAAAAAAATTGAACAGTAATTTCTCAACTGTGCTCCAGCAGTTTCATCCATATGTGCTCTCTAGCTAGCTCTTTGTTAGTTTTGTTTTTATTTCAACGTATTTTAACTTCCGTGTGGTTTATAATGTAATGTACAACATGTGTTACGTTGGTTTAGTTATAGTCCGGCAGATAATGGGCCTTTTTGGGGCCATCATTGTTTTCAGACATAAGTTTTTTTTATTTGTGATCATTCATCTTGGGGTCATTGCCCATCATTTCTACATGGGTGTGGAGTTTGCAGCCTTGAGCAATTTTTTTTACGGCTAGATATTCGTATTTGTTTTTTTCGTTAAATCTGTGCACCATATTGGCGCACAACCTGAACTCTAACCTGGTACACATACTATGGTCAGGTTGTGCGCCAACTTGATGCACCCTGCCATAAACTAAAAGAGGCGACCGTGCTCCTCTTGCCTGTTGTCATGCTGTCCCTCGAATTCAGCTACAACAAAAAATTCACGAAAACGTTTCACGTTTTAGATTTTATTAATATTCTCGACAATGAATGATAGGTGGTAGAATACGGGTAAATAAAATGGTTATTCCAACAACATGATCAGGTTTTGCAACTCACGACCAATATTTTGTATGTAACTTTGTTTGACAGAGCCCCATGAGATCTAACTACAAATATCAAAAAGTGAGGCCAAAAAAGTTACACTACAACATAGTCAAATGTGCTGTATTTACGATAGATAACAGTTTTACTGAAAAGCATTACATGGAAAATGGTAAAATCAAGATCAATTCAGCAATATCCACTTAGGACTTGGTGACATGTATCTGTTGATGATTTTATGTGTTTGTTTCAGAAGTTTAATGACAGAATCAATTGTATTTATATTCTACTAGGATCGAGGTATGGATTGAAATAAATGGTTGAGCACGGGCGATTTATCATTTGTCTGGATCAGTACGTTACGGCTGTACGGTATGGGGCAGGCGCAGAGAGTGTTTCAGTAGTCTATATTCTACGAGACTATCCGTATCTCCCATTCTTTCATTAGTGATTGTATGGCTACCGGTTCGGTCAGACGCAAAGCGACTATAACCGACTACCGGTATTTGGTAAGACGGTACCGGCATCGCGAGTGTCCAGACAACTGAGTAGTTAAGCAGCATTCTCCAATTAAATTACCTTATACACGTAAAAACAAATTTTCGTATTCAATTCTATATTCTCTTATCATTATTATAAATATATTACTTCTTGTTGAACTTGTAGCATGGAGAATTTATAGAACATTTTCATATTGAATATTGCTCAAGAAAATCAGTAGTGAGTTTGAAATCCAGGGAACACATTTGTGCGCGTAGGATTATGCCTGACAACGTTGGTCTCAAGCAGAAGCAAATTTTCTAAAAATAAAAACGAGTGACAACGATGGGCCACGAGGCGGACCATCGTTGTCAACCTTTTTATTTTCTTTTTATTCAATTTTTTTTTTTAATTTTTTTTTCCATCATTTATTTTTATTTTAAATATTTTTATGTTTTTTTACAACAATTTTTTTATTTTCGGTTTTTTATTTTATTTTTCATTTTCAATTTTACGCGTGACAACGATGGGCCACCATACAAGAGCCTCCCGTAGTATTTATATCTAAAATTATGGCCTAACCCTAACCTAGTACACATATTACATTCCGATGTCCGCCATCTTGGTTCGCATACTTCGGGAGACCCAAAATAAGTTAGAATACTGTAATTGAAATTTTTTTTTGGTTAGATCGTAAACTACGATACCCTACTGGCTACTCCTCTGACCAGCAGGAACACGGTTATTGGCCCAATAACGCATCCAGTCTATCACATTTTTTCAAAGAAGCTTTGATAACAAGATATGCTGTGACTTCCCTGTTCAGGGAAACATAGTAACCCTGGACGAGTTACTCCAGTTGGTAGTAGAACACTGTGCAACAAAACAGTTCTAATATTTAGCAGTGAAGATACATAAATTAGTCTGTATTCAATTTACAATATTAAAAAGACTGCTTAAGAAACATTCACACACGAAGAGCTCTTCAAAGTAGAGATGTACCGATACCACTTTTGTCGCCAATACCAACTAAAAACGCCGATACCGATATTCCAAAAAAGTTGATATTCCTATACTATGTAAATATAACCTCAAGTGTGCAGGACAGACGAGCTGAAAAACTATAGTCTTAACTTTATTCATATTGCACTTCATTTCAGATTAAAAAAAATATATATATATATATCAAATAATAAGAAACTGATGTTTGAGATCCAGATGCGTTAATTGGTTCAGATACATTGTGTACTGACGCTAGGAATCTCGGTGTTCAATTAGAAAACTCATCGGGCTTGGGTGATAAAATTATTGAATGGATACTTATCCGATCCGACTGATACATTGAGTTACGTCCGCAGGATTTTGGGGCAATATAACGACTTATTTTGTATTTTACATGTTGGGAAATCCACTAATACTCGGTTAATATATTTCTTCAAAATTCCAGCTAGCACTAAAAATGTCAATATAAATATTTGGCAGCGAAAATAGTTGAGCTAGATTAGTTGATAAATAGTTAAAATCAGGCCAGAATCTTATTCCCGTTTCTACTCGCGGAGATGGGACGTTCATGGCTCGTAGTTTAGGGTTACCATATCTGGAAAGGCAAAATTTTAATAGGCCAGGTTGACCAATTTTGCAACCAAAACACTTATATTGTACAGTATTATGGTCTATATTCACGACGTATCAATAGCACAAGCTGTCGTCCCTTCCGCGAGAGAATAGAATAAATACAGAACGAAACGAGAAAAATTGCAGCTTTATCATTAGCACTAAACTCATAGCACGGCATAAAGTACAGGTATAGTGCCACCAAAATAACGAATACAAAATGCCGGCAATTCAGGTCATATGTGACATCACAATTATATGAATGCGACGCAATCCGCGTTGACCAAAAATGCTTGCGTGTGACATATCTCTGAAAAAATAGAATTTCGTGGATGCGCAATATATATCTGAAAACTCAGGGATCTGTAGCAGGAATTCACTGTATTCAAAAATCCCTGATATTTAAGCACTTTTTAACATTTCTCCCTGACACAAAATTGACCATTAAAATCCCGGACATGTCAGGGAAAAATTTGACGTATGGCAACCCTATCGTAGTTTACGATCTATCACAGAAAACAAAATTTTAGTATTCTAACTTATTTTTTTAAAACATTCTGAATCATATTAAAATTCTAAATATATCGGTCTACATTTAACCGATACCGTTACACTACCGATACCGGAAATTTGGCCGATTCTGATACATCTCCACTCCAAAGCAGGTACAAATAGCAACCGCCTTGAACTGACGGACCCTGAAACGCGCCAACGAAGCGAACGTCCCCTCAAAGATCAGTAAAAACGTTGCTGGCAGCATCGGCCAAAGGTAATTAGGTTGTTTATTGCGTCAACCTACGTTTACTGTTTTTTATTATTATATAAATTGACCGTACTCTTCCCGTCGTACCATATTTTTATTATTGTAGACATTATATACATATATGTATATAATGTCTACAATATATATATATATATATAACAATATATTGTGTGTGGTATGTGTGTCTTCTCCGTAACCTTCATTAGAGTATGTTAATTAATATTATTGTATTTGGTGTACAATATGAGTCTTTCTTCAAAATTGCATTTGCTGTAAATATATTTGTGTTTATTGTTTGTCGTCCTTGTTTTCAGTGTAACACTCCGCCAAATTTGTCTTTCCTATAAAATTTTCTCGTTTTTTTATTCTGCTATCCTTGTATTTTATCTGTGAATTACTTCGAGATAGTTACATGTTTAAGTTAATCTGTGTAATAATTTCCAATAAGTTTACGGTCGCAACATAATATGTAACAGTTATGACTCATTTTTGTTCTTATTATCAAAATATAGTATATTAATGGGTGATCTTAAATATAATGGGTGATCAAATACGGACAAACATATACGGAAACATTGGAAACATGTTAGTGCTATTCCAACCATGCCATCTCGGATCATCTACCTGTCGTGCAGTATAAGTCAATAGAACAAAAAACATAGAAAGCAGTTTTTCTCTATCATTCAATCCGATATATGGCTACTTTTAGGAGGTCCTTAGAATGTATCGACCTCTTTGTAGTGTTTGAAGAGTCGAACCCGAACGCCATTAAAAATAATTCTTGCCATGTTATGCCACCCTTTGATCGCTGTTTTCTTCATACTTCGCTTAAAAAACCTGAATAATTAAAAAAAACTTAGGAGAAAACAGAAAATTTACAAATGAGATCTCGTCAAAAACACGCAATATTCTCGGAATAAACACTTGGAAAGCAAGAAGACCTATGATATTGGTCAAAAAGCACGATAATTTAATTTCATTGGCATGGTTTTCATTTTGGCTAACGTCGAAATCCTGGAAATATTCTTTAAGTCGGTAGTTTCTGATTGTTGTGTCTATGTCCGACGCTAATTGGAATTTATCTGCGTTTGGAGGGGTTACACTGAATCCTAATCCTTTCTGCAAGAGTTCGGTATGGGCTTCACTCAATGTAATATTTGAGAGGTTCTAGTCAGTTGAATGCGCCTGTTCTGTGTTTTTTATCTTTCGCTTTTTGCCTCTGGTGTAACGGCGATTTTTTCAGGGTTGCTGTTTATTGTTGTCCTAAATTTAGATTTGTTTTGTCTCTCATCTTTTTTGTTCTCGCCTTAGCAAGTTTATCTTCTAGTTTGGAAATCGCAAGTCCCAGTTTGTGTCAAATGGCTCCATTTTGAAGTGCTGGCCTGATCTTTTTCCGGTATGCTTGAATTTGAGTTGAGATATTTTTAATTTCTATCTGAAAAACGTAACAATTGAATTTTAATCAGCCGCTTGGACGTCATTTTCAAAAATGATCGCGAACATTGACTCGTTTTCGTAATGTCAAGCGCTATTGGTCAAATCCTACCCCTAAAATGAAACAAAATAAGGCCACATGCCAAAATAAGGTCGTTTCTTGTAAATAAGGACAAAAAAATTTTCTAAGACAAAACCTTTCTTGCTCAACAAGTTTTCATTCAAATTTTATATGAAAGGCACATATACCGTCCAAGTAGGTAGGTCCTCATTGTTATTTCAGCGTACCATTGTTCTCGGTAGTCACAAAGTTGAATTTGTTACGTCTTTCACAACTCAAGTCCGAGTTGGGGTTTGTTTGGGGTTCCACAAAGAATCAAGATCTAAAAGTGTCCCTTCAGGCAAAGGGCTTTAGGGCAGGGGTGCTCAACCTGCGGCGCCGAAGATGAAATTTTCGGCCGTTCTAGTGTGTGTTGTAGCTGCAGAATAAGCACAAGGCAATAACCCCATAAGCAAATAATCATATAGAATTTAGGTAATTACTTGTGGCGCCGTTAACCTTCGTGCCTATTTCTATGAATCTAATCTTTGTAATATCACCATCTTGTATATAGATCTCAAAGTCCCAGAAAGGTATTATTCTGATAAGGGAGTGAGGGTGTTGAGACATAGTTGATACGGAAAATCAAAGCTGTAGTCTAGTTGTGTCTTTATTTGCTATTGGAAAAAAAAATACTGATATCATAAACATTAAAGGTTGTAAGCATTACTCCATGCCGTTTAAGCAGTAGAGAATATTGTCAATGTACTTGAACAAGGCAATCGTGCGTGGTGAATCAAACGCATGACTTTTCGATAGGGTTACCATATTTTTGGACTTCAAAGTGGGACGCTTCCAAAGACAATAGCTGTAATTTTTTCAACTTCAAATTTACCGATTTTGCATTAGGGGAGTACATTTAACCATCCCGGCTGTCCTCATTGACCATATTGTCGTCGAGAGTTTATGCGCTGTCTGCCTAAATCAGTGGTTCTCAACCTTTTTCAGTTCGCGAACCGGTAAAATTTCAAAATAAATTTCGCGGACCGGCGGATCTTCAAAATTAACCAAAAATGTCATGAACACAAAACATAATCAAACGAATGCAATTACGACAAAAATAGGCGGTGCAAAAGAAGGCAATCCAATTCAATGAGAAATTTACTGCTGTCTTTTTGATATTATACGTGTTGAACGTGGTTCTAATGAAGTTTCTGCAAGGCAAAGTAGAGCGTTGCCTTCCACGCAATTCCGTTAGCTTTGCGGGTTCCATTGTGTCGCTTGAAATAATTTTGGCGCAGACTAAGCACACAGGAAGCGGTACTTTTTCGCTGCTGGGAGCAATAGTGAAACCTAGCTTCAAATACTTATCATAGTGCCGAATAAAATATCCCTTTCGTTTTTTGCTTGTTTCCGCGTGATCCATATCAACTTTGCTGCAACATGCAAGGTCGTTACGGGGTATGTTGTAAAGTTGAAGTAGCAGTCTCTTCCTGTAAACACCACTAACTTGGTTTTCATCGCTGGGTCTCTTTTGAATGAACTGAACAATACTTTGTTGTTCGTTTGCCTCCAATTATTGATAATCTATGTTTCGCAGTTGTTTTGAATAAAATGTGGTGTTTATAAGTGAATGGTAATGGATATCGGTTTTCATATAAATTTTCGTAATTCTCTACTTTTGAATTTTGTTTTAGATAAATAAAAATATAAGACATCCCCCGAAAACAAGCCCTAGTGTTATTTTTCAGGAAAAAAAAATAAAAATGGACCCAGTCTTATTTTCGGGGAAACACGGTATGTGCTATCAAACTCCTCCGTTATTACGCTAGTCTCCGTTATGAGAGTCATAGACTTAACAAACATCCAGCCGTTCAGGGCATTAAATGAGCAAAGGACATCTCACCAAGTTTGGTTGTTAGAGTCTAACACAGACATGGGCAAACTACGACCCGCGGGCCGAATCCGGCTCGTTGGGTAATTCAATCTGGTCCGCCTGATGGTGTCACAACCAAACTAAATCCAAATTTCGCTGTATTAGCAAACAATAGCTCAAGGAATTTGTTGGGATTGCGATGAAATTTAGTTTTTGCATGGGCTTATCGTTTTCCAATTTTGCTTTTGTAACATTTTAACTATTGTCCATAAAATTTAAATTTTTCTTCATACTTCCATGGCCCGCCAGTCGAGATGAGCAAAATTGTTGGCCCCCGGTCCGAAAATCTTGCACACCCCTGGTCTAACAGTTAGACGAATAACGGTACTGCGTCTCAATAAGAATTTAAAAAATCCCAAAATTAACGGACATGCCGTCAATACTCTGTATTTTGCAATTTGCTTATGATATATTAATATTGGAATATATTTGGCGGACGGCAGCAAGGTTGCCGCGGACCGGCACCGGTCCGCGGACCGGCGGTTGAGAACCACTGGTCTAAATATCGGTTCCAGTTCGAAAATTAGAAATAAATTTACGTTAGCACTGAGCACACTTTTGGCGTACGGGGCTTACACGTAACAAATTATAGCAATTATTGTTAGCGAAAAACAACGAAACAAACAAAACCACGCATTCACATTCAGTAAGTTGGCTACAGGTACGCTACACAGCAACAACAGTAACGAGAAAAAGCTAATTGACATTGTTCGTGAATTATGCTGACTGGCTTAACGCCAAAGCGGGTCTTTTGGCTGATCGGTCGGGACAAGACGTTGAAAAGTGGGACTGTCCCGCGTAAAACGGGACGTATGGTAAGCGTACTTCTCGACATCATATATATTAACCTGCAAGAATTTGTGCATGGCTCTCGCAAAAAGCCCAACACCTCAATGTCGAGCAGTCGGTCAATCAATCTTTACTTGTGTGTACTTCCAGTTCTAAGCGCAATGCGCAGCAACAGCCGGCGGATTTCAACATTTTTGTAAATTTTAAAAACAAAAGGCATTTGATAAGTGTTAGGCGCAAGACTATGAGATATACCCATGAAAACCAATCTTTATTAATTGGACATACCCAACTCATGAAAATCTCGACATTACTGGCGGCATTAAGTAGTTATTATACAGAAACGAATTGCGGCCGGCCATAGAAGAGGTTGTACACCCCTGCCCTACTATCGGACCTAGACTATTTTGTCGACGAGGCCCTTTTGCATAGAGTTGTCATAAACAACTCATAAAAAAATTCACCTTTAAACTGTTTATATTAATTAATGAACGAATGTAAAATTGAATGTCGAAACTTCATGAGCTTTCAGCCTTGCATACCGGCAAATTCGGTTCTGTAAGTAGTGCATCTGAAGGTCGATTCTTTGTTTGAATTGTATGACCCGTCGGATTATGCCTGACTCTACAAAAAAATATAATCACAAACGCTTCTTTCATATAACGTGTGTAGCCTGACATAACCGAACCTTAATATTTCCGGTTCTGAACTTACTTCCCTATTTGATTTGTTTGCAGCAACGACTAATTGCATTATATATAGCCGAATGAAAAGTTAGCGGACAAACGTGGACGACATATATAAAGGTAGATTAGCAAAGAAACAGTTTTTTTGAGAGGTTAAAACTACCAATTCCCCGAGTCTTATCGGGTATGGAAAAATGAGGCTAGGTTCAAATCGTATTTCTACAGAATAATTCTAAACATTCCATTATGTTAAACCAGGTACTGTGTTCTAATCATCTTTCCGTAAATCCGGAAAAGGTCATCAGCAATTTTGGAAGCTAATTGCTGAATGCTTTTACAAATACCCATCAAAATTAGGGATTATGATTATACAATAATATCTTAGTATTAGATAGTTTAAAAAACAAATGAAGATTAGCTTTCACTCCACTCAGGCCTGGACAATGCTTATTGAGAGTCCATATATGTGATCTCAGACAAAATTCCCCAACTCAGCCTACTGTAAAATACGAAATATTCTTTTCTGAATCCGGTTATTCACTAATAACACGACGTATTGAAATCCGAAACATTAACGGGATTTCAATTTATTTACATATTGCACAATGCAACTGCGCGGTGGCCGAATAATGAAGGTCAATTAACTTCAAATGGGATAACTTGATAGAAGATATAGGTTGGGATTTTTCGGCAATATATTGTGACAATCTATTATGAAGCTAACGAGTGTACATATGAAAACATTGGAGCGATAAAGAGAAGATTAGCATGGCCCCTGCGCAAGGATGACACGCACAATCGTGAAGTTAAAAAACAGACAATATCAACATATTATATTATCACTGACCCCCCTCATAACAATATTTTTCTATATGATTAAAGATTGAATATGTAGTATTTTGAAAATCTAATGTTAGATATAAGATTGCAACAGACAGTTTATACCCACTTTTCTTTTTTTGATGCAATCAGTGCAATTTACGTATTTACCCATTGAATAACATACGCGATGCCAAATCCACCTAATGCATGCATTAACCTCATTTTTAAATACTGTATAGATAACGACAGTAATTCTGATAGCAATCCCTATGATTTAGAATAGATTCAAATATATTCGACTATGCCTTTTATGATTGATGTGCCACTTTTCATTGTCGATTCGATTTGATCATGCTCTTAAAATGCATCTGTGAGGAATTTTTATGAAATCATCATCGTTAAACGGATGTGATTTTGTTTTAAAAGTAAACTCGCGCAATGCGTTGTCATAACACGCAATTTGCTTGCACAAATGTTAAATGAATGCCCACTTGACGATTTGATCATCTGTTCCACGTATGGTCCAAATGTAAATTTATGCGTTTCGAAAGTAAGTTCCGGTATTGACTCTCTGGTTGTCATTTAAACATCGAATTTAATACGCTTTTAAAAGTTTATTTTTTTTTTGAAGAAAACCTAATTTTCGCCGTTTATCACTTTGAGGCAGTGAAGTTCTGTACGACGATTAAAGTAAAACGACTTTCAAAGGGGTTGGTGAAGTGAAGTGACATGCGTTATCAAATATGATTTACACTATTAGTGTTATTTATTTAGTATTTTACAGCAAAGTTGTGTGGAATCTATGTTTCGCATCCCACGTAGAGTGATGTGTAAACGACAAATGATGATGTTACGTTAACGCAAACGATAACAAACAGAATCATCATACCTGCTTACTGTTAGTGACGTCACACATCCTCAAGAGAATGATTATAACGCCCATCCCAATAGTCGGAAAATCGTTGCATGTCTGCAGGAAGGTCTTGTAGACAAATAGTTGAAGCAAGGTGAGAACAAGTATAGTCATTATAACGCTGTCTAGCCAAAAGTTCAAATGATAGGATGTATCAGATAAAAAAAAAATTTGTGATAACATATGATCGGTGTTTGACCGGTCGCATTGATCCAACGAGGGATGACCAGCTATTTTAAGTTTTTTAGTACAGTTGTTTTTGTATCGACTATCTTCAAATTGCTAAAAAGTTTTGGTATGTAACTCTAAGCTGGAGTATCACCCATAGTCTATAAAATACAAAAAATCATAATTCTCGATCAATTATTATAGATCTGTTTAATTAAGAAAATAAAAATATTAGGCGGCGCAAAATAATTTACGAATCGTCCAACCACTCGATTCACTCCTTTCTGACTGAGGACTGATATGTGCAAAAGGTAACGTTAATGTAATTTCATTCGCCATGATTTCTGATCAAGGAATGCTTGAAATGTTTCGAGACGCTCGACAACCCACATCCTTTGTCCACACCATTGAACAATATTATTGCGTAATAATAATTATAATCAATGGAAACGATTCAATTTTTTCCAATTCAATATGAAGACTAAGAAGTGATTCTATCAACAACGTCTCGCATTCTAGTTCGATCTTCTACCGAGATATTTACTGAAACTTCTTGAAACACTCCATCCTCAACACTCTTTTTCAGTCTGCAACATTAAAGAATTCTGCAGCTAAAACTTCATTATGTTCAATTTGAGGAGATGGGGGGAAGTACTAGAGATAATATTGTTATCAACAACACTCATCTCAGAGCATGCTTTGTCAGGTAATGTTGGATTGTACGTTGGATTAACTTTTATTAACTTCTGAACAGCAAGAGGTATGAGTATATAAACTTGTATTATGTATTTAGAAACTACTGCAATCATTGCAAGTCAAAATAATCAAACGCATGTTCCTCGAACAACTACAACCGACGTATCAGCGGATATGGTTTCAACCTTTGCGAACAATGTTGGACAGAACACGACGACAAATTGGGTCGTTGCTGAGGAAGAAACTGTATCCGATTCTGTCATAAAGAATGGGACAGAAACGGTCATGACAACTACGATGGCGACAAAAACAATTTCTACTGAGATTGAAGTCACCGCATCCAACAACGCTGAAATTACTCACATGCCTAAAATGTTAGGTACAAGTACTGCGAAATCAAATATTACTCATGAGCTAAACGTAATATTTCCACAGGCAACGACAACACATGAAGATCGTTCTACAACAGCAGGTATCGCTAAAATAGACAATAGTTCTAGAATTTATTGGTCGGCATAATTTAGATTCGACATTTATTTTACGTAAATATCAGGTTTTAGTATATATTATCAGCGGCTGAGTGGCATTTCGACCGTTACGCCATACTGGTCTAATAATGAAGGCACAAATCGCTGTAAGTCTTGCAATATGTGGTAGCCTACTAAACAAGAGCACGTAGAAGTTTTGTCTAACTCGTACTGCTTTATTTCTTTTTACGCGAAACTTTTTTGAATTTTTGTATATATAAGCATTTTTTGTAAATTAAAAAGGAATGAATATATTTCTTAGCTGAACTAACAAAACAAAACACAAATAACAATTCTACTTGATCTACCGAAGACAAGTAGCTAATGCTATAAATTGCGAAAATTGTAACTTTTCGATAATCGGCAATTGTACGATTGTTTGATCTCAATAATCGACAATTGTACGATTATTTGACCTCGATAATCGGCAATATTATTTGAAATGTTGAAATATTTTGCAATGTGCATTTGTAATACATGGCGGAACTATTCCTCTCTTATCCAGACTGTTGTTGCCTGACGGCAACGTCCGCGCACGCACAAACTCACGATGTTAGCGCGTGAAAACGAAAAAATATACCAGCTTTCGAAATAATATTCGTTGATTTTGAAATATTCGTCAGTTGTTGTATTATTTATTTTCATACGTTTAAACATAACGTAATTTCACATCTAAATAGCAATCGTCGTTTTAATAACATTCTCATTTATTTAGAAAAAATCATGTGGTTCATAGTTGAACTTTCTGATTATAACTCTTAATTTGGTGAATCACTTTATCTAAACCAGGGGTCCGAAACTACTTTTTAGCGCAACCCAAAATGATTTTTTCTAACTTCTCGCGACCCAAGCATTTGGTAAACATGTAATTAGTTATCGATTTCAAGACTATTGTCGACACTAGCATTTTTCTTGCACAAAATTATATGAAACTTATCACACAAAATTGTGAATAATAGCGTTTATTATGACTAATGCAAATTATAAGCTTTGTGTATAATACACAACATATCAAATCGAGGTTTAATTTGGGAGACGGCAACTCGAAGATATTTTTCTACCTCTAGCCTTGATCTGCTTGAAATTTCTGGGTGAAATGTGATTCATTGGTCATTCCTTTGGTTTTTAACTTTCTAAAATACGTGCGGCCCGCCAATGACTTGCAACCTTTAATTTTGGCCCGCGAACGACAAAAGTTTGCCGACCTCTGGTTTAGACTTTAGAGCCTGCCTCAAACTTCCCACCCTCGACCCACTGTCCGACCTCCCTCAACTTACTTATCTTCGACCCACGACGCTATACCACTTAGTACCTAACCTAACGGCGCTACAATCACGACTCGACCGTCAAAGTCAAGACCGTCAAAGACCAACTTCCATGTGATATACTGGTCGAGTAACTGCCAATGAGATATTTCAATCGTACGTCGACAAAACATGATTGACGGCATTCGTAAATGTAAGCTGGAATCTCAATTGGTAATCAATAACCATAATTAGTGGCTTAAAAATGTGCTACTTATTAGGCTACTGATGGCATCGGGTTTGAAGTCACTGTTTTTAAAATTTTAACAGGCCATTCGATATCGACATATCTGAGTTCCGTTTCAGAAACTCATTCAATGTCGCCTGCATTTCCGTGCAAGGCAAAACGATGAGGAAATAATCAAATATTTGCACGCTTGGTCTTTTCAACGAATGTTCTGCCATATCCTGCTGTATATACAAATTTCTTTTACGTGACTGAGAAGGCTGAAAAGTCAAAAATATAAGTCGCTCAGTGAGTGTAATCCCTTCCAAACTATTTTTAAGCCATGAAATGTTTTGTCGTAGCTAGCGTTGCCAACTGCCCTTTAATTCAGCGTATAGTCCCAAAATTGAGCTTATCTTATCTGCAACTTAATGAAGTCGCAAAAGACTTCGCCTTTACTATATCGCCTTTACTATAAAATGTTGAAGAAAAATACTTATACGGACCAGAGCACTATTGCTTATTTCGGATCAGCATCATACTGTCAAAAGACTCACGACATGGCTAATTATTAAGGGCATAAAACGGCTTGTTAAAATTTAGAAAACTGTCATTCCCAACAAGAAACCATAAGTAGCCCAATTAGTAACACTATTACTGCCAATTATGGTTATTGTTTACCATTTGAGAATCCAGCCTACATATACGAATGCCGTCAATCATGTTTTGTCGACGTACGATTGAATCATCCCATTGGCATACACGACCAGTATAACGCATGGAAGTTGGTCGCAAGATAGTAAAGTTCAGTGTGGCGATCGGGTCGTGAATAAAGCGCCGTTATAGGTCAGATACTGAATAGTATAGCACCATAGGTCAAAGATAGGTAAGTTGTGGCAGATAGGGCAGTGGGTCGAGGATAGGTAGGTTGAGGAAGATAGGGCAGCATAGGTTGAGAAGAGAAAGGTTGAGGGAGATGGAGCGGTGATTCGAGGTTGCAAAAGTTGAGGAGGTAGGGCAGTAGGTCGAGGATAGGGAGATAGCGCAGTGGGTCGAGGATAGAAAGGTTGAGGGAGATAGGGCAGTGGGTCGATGATAGGAAAGCTGAGGGAGGTCGGGCAGTGGGTCGAGGACAGTTTTCAAGTAAACGAATAGCTCGCGGAGGCCCTAAGTGTCTTTAACGGAGTCCTGAGGCTGTCTAGGATATAACAATGCGAACAACTAAGTAACGCATGTTTCCCCGACTTTTGATCTCTTGAATTCTTCCTCTTTACACTTTACCATTGCAAAATTATTAGTACTTATTTCAAGAATGGTTTTGCGAGTTTAGGACTCGAATTTACCAAAACACAACTAAAATCTAACAAATACCACGCGAAAACCGAGGTGATATTCACAACCATGAAAATCTGTCTGAATGACTAAATCAGTGGTCGGCAACCACCGGCCGCGGCCCATCGCCGGTCCGCGGAAAGGGCACTACCGGTCCGCAGAAACGTGACGCAAAAGACTGACAATGTCTTATAACATCTTTAGTTGATTGAAATTTCAAACAATTATGAGTTGAAAAGAGTCTTTGCGATTTATAGGGTAGCTACTTTGGCAATCTTTTGGGCAATACTGCTATCTGAATACCCCGGAATTGCAAAAAAAAAAGCTTTTACAGACATTTTTACATTCATGTGAGATCGGGTTTTCAAAATTGACAACTACAAAATCGCAGTAGGCTAAAAGTAAGAAATACGTTACTTGAATAACATCACTTTTATTTTTAAATTGAATATCAACCTAAATTTAAAACGTTTATTGTTACGTCAAATTCTGCACTTATGCTGATTGGCCAATGTTACGGCAGTAAATAAGGAAGTCTAAACTCTTGGAAAAATCCATAACTATAATTGGAGTTTTATGTAGTTGTTATAGCTAAATTCGGTACACAGACGCGATGCTTATATTTATGGTAAATTTGAATTGTTTGAATTGTTTTTTTTGCGACCCCGTATTTGCGGACCCCTGGTGTGTCCAATGTATTGCTAGCCAGATTTTTCCTATGAAGAATGCAATGCGTCAAATTGATATGAGGTGCAATTTGTAATACTCTTGCTAAAAACCTTTGTTTTCCCGCCATGGCCCCAGCCCTATCAGTACAAATGCTAATACACCGCTCCCACGATAATCCATCATTCTGTAGGCTCGTCGCCACTGCTGAGAATATGGTTGACCAGTGCATGTTCCAGAAAGAGCCGAGCACATGAGTAACTTATATACCTAGCGAACACAATCAACTGCGCTAAACACCAGACGTATCCGTGGATTCATCCAATTGCAAAGCGTATTTTCCTCCTTTGACTCTATCAATCAGTTGGCACCTAATATCTTGACCCATTTCGCTGATACGTCGGCAAATGGTATCTACAGACATTGGTATTTTTTTCATTTCCTTAGTAACCTCGTCTACATTCATAATATGACTAATTGCAATAGTTTTGATTAGTGTTTCTCCAATGGTGTGTGGTTTTATATCTTTTGCGATTAAATATGCCACTTCATACAATGCCTTTTGAGCTTTTTCTAAGATTGTGAGATACTTTGTCATTTTTTTCTTTTCGCCTAACAATTTTTTTTCTGATCGGCGGAAAAATGGATTGGTTTGTCAATGAATTCTGAATGCTTTGCTGTGAGGTGGCGTTTCAATCTCACTGCTTTCAGGCTCTCGTTGGCAAGAACACCGGAACAAACAACACATTGAGGACGTGACTCATCATTCATAAGAATACACGTGAAACCAAGCTTTATAAATTCTTCGCTGTACTTCCGCTTATAAGGATGGTTTGAGTGATGTATTTTTATCCGATGAGGGTGAGAAGATGAGTCTTTTGTCGGGCGTTGATCCCACTGCTTGAAGACGCAAAGATGTCTGAAGGTGCATGCGGTGTTCTGTTTATACTTGATTTCCCCGTTGTATCTTCCGCTCGCGACTTTTTTCGAGTATTCTTCAGTAACCAGTTTGTCAACATTATTTGTGACTAAAACTACCTTTAAAATTCTTTACCCCGCTAAATTTTGAATTTAACCAAGAATATCTTACAATAACAAATGTAACAGCACCCTAACTATTTAATCTAGAATGGACAAATCTCATCATCTGTCTTTATTAAGCAATTCCACACTACTACTGCTAACCTCGCATTGCTACGAAACAATACAATTGTCTACCTACGTAGTAGGATAATACCAATTAACAATGCAAACATCTACGTAATGAATGTTTCCCCGATTTTCAATCCCGGCAAAATTCTTTCGCTTTATACTCTACTATTGCAAAATTATTGGTCCTTATTTCAATAATGGTTTTGCGAGTTCGCGCCTATAAACCGGTTTATATGTTTCAAACTGTCATTTTAATTCAATACATTCAACAACCTTTCATTTACATGTGGCTATAGAAAAGTTTGGCCTAGTCTATCACAGCTATTTCTAGATTAATTTTTGATTACTGCATTTTCAAATAAAACTCCGACAGAGCAAAATGATTATTGAGTTTGATTAGGACTTGTATTTACCAAAACACAACTAAAAACTAACAAACAACACACGAAAACCGCCAAAACGAGATAATATCCACAACCACGAAAGACTGTCTGAATGGCAAAAGTATCCGAGCGCTTCTGAAACGTTTATTGTTACTTCAATTTTGCACTTATGCTGATTGGCCAATGTTACTGCAGTAAATAAGGAAGTGTATACTCGGGGAAACATTCATAATTATAATCCGGATTTATAAAGTTGTTATACATAAATACGCTACACAGACGCGATGCTCATATTTATGGAAAATTTAAATTGTTTCGTGACCCAGAGTGGAGGGTTTCGCGACCCAAATTTGGGTCGCGACCCCGTAGTGGGGGGGGGGGGGGGGGGGTTCACAGCTATGTAATGCACATCTCATAATGTCGATGTTAGTTTTGCTCAAATCGTTTTGTTACGTAGCAATGCCGGAGTCGTCGATTTTCGGCGTCGTGGGGTTTGATCGCACCGGCCACCGGCGCAATTACGAAGGCTGTCAGATTGATGTCGAAAGCAAAATCTCTTAGTGGCGCACAAAAACGAAGAATAAAGAGCAGAAGAGATAGAACGTATGAAAAAAATTAAAATAACCAAGATAAACGAAATATTTAAACCAAAATTGAAACAATTAGACTTGGGAATACCGAACGTTACTGAGGAGGAATTAAGCCTAGCACCGGTGGTATCGGTAGAAAACCAGATGCGTGTTCAATCTCCAAAAGTGATGGCGCCGGCGCGAATGAATTTTCTTACACGACAATTATCACAGGTAAGCTACTGATTTTTGAAGCAAATTGAAAAAATTGATATGACGAAGATGGTGGATGAGTTTGCTAACACGAAGACGCAAATTTTAGGTTACTATAGCCTTTTTATAACGACATGTTATGCTTTTTGACGAAATAAAAAAAAAAAACTTTGTTTTAGCTTATGTCCGAGAGTTTTTAGGGTCATTTCCACGAAATATTTTTGCGGGGGGCCCACGAGAGTCTTGCTACGCCACTGGTGAGATCATAAGCTATGACGTTTGTGAGGCCACTCCTAACAATGACATCATAAACAATCTATTATGAACACATAATTTGTATCTAGAAAAAGTTATGGGGAAAATATTATGACGCCATGAATAAAATTTCAAATATGGTTGAAATACGAAATATTATTAAAAGAGCAAATACGAACGATAATCACCCAAGTAGGTTGGATAGTGGGTTAAATTACGAAATTTAAGACTGTTATAAAAGGTCATGTCACCAGAAAATTGACGTCATCATACCCTTCCGAATATCTTTCGTATAATTTAACTCACTATCCAATATACTTGGGTGATTATCGTTCGATTATCATGGCCCAATTACTAATAAATAAACATTATTGATAAATAAAATTAGCATTTCGTTTTCTAAAATTAAAGGGGCTTGTGATAAAAATATACGAAATAGCAAAAAATATAATAATTCTTAATTCGTTGTTCCTTGGATAAATTAGTACATCTATATATCAATATTTTGTGTATTTTTACAAAAATAAAGGCTATATTATGCTGAAAACTATTCAATTAATCGAACTTAGCATATTTTGTTTTTGTGGTTGAAGGAGTATAGTTCTCAAATTTAGACAAATTCGCCTATTGGGCAGTATATATTTTTTTAATCGTTTAAAATGGTTAAATATTTGGTACAATAATTACCTGAATAAAAAAGTTAACAATTTCAGTTTTACACCATTTTGAAGCGGTTTTTGATTAAGAAGCTACCTTGCCTACTGGTAAATCTCTCACGGACATTAAGGCAGTGTTTCGCAACCTTTTTTATTGAATTCCTCCCGTCGCGTATTTTGATACTTTTTATTCCAACCTCATTATGCATAAAAACTACTCCATTTGGCGCTCTAGAAGTATGTGTACCAATATGAAGGTAACCAATTTTGTTCGCCTACTCCACATTAAGTTGTGTTGAGTCTAAGGGACGGAAGTCTATGGGCAGGGGGGTATATTCACTTGGCTAACATAGACAGTCCCCGAACTCGTAATAGAACCAAAATCGGAAAAAATATAATTATGGCCAAACCGTAACCTGGTACACATACTACGGGGGTACCCTCTATTTATCTAATCTCTGATGGATCCTTAGCTAGTGTAATGTGCAAGTCACACTCTCGCTTCCCCTTGGGGGGGGGGAATCCCACCCCGGGTGGGAGACGTGGTGCTACGCGAACGTCGGAAGCGCGGTGGGCAACCGAGGGTCTAGTGTAGTGTATTTGTACAAGTACAAATGTCTAAGGGTGCATATTCCGTGAGCGCAAATATCTGTGAATTAATGGGTTCAGACGTACGGGGAAAGTGTAAGTGAGTGCATACCGAGTGCAAGTGTACTTAAATGCAAATGTCCGTTGGTGCAATTGACCGGGTGCAAACTACATACGGGTGCCGGAATCTGTATGCAAAATAACTAGTTACCAATTCAATCAAACGATCTGGCGCATTGCGTTTCATTTCATTTGTCCTAGTTATTTTGATATTAAAACTTTTAATGAATGTAAGTTAATGAAGACATTGGAACCGAAAACAATAATGGTAAACAATCTGTGCGAGACAACAATCCCTCTCCAATGTAATAATTTGTTCTTACATGGACTTTTAGTTCTAATTGAGGAATATACGACGAATTTATCAACCAGCTCATCTCAAGAGGAAACAATCGTGACGAATATCCAGAATCTAGAAAGTTCTGTTTCCAGCCACGATATAACGATGACAACCATTGCCGCTAACGAACAAGAAGGCTCCTCCACGCTGTCGTCAGGTAAGATAATCTCTTCGTATTTTCTCTACCATTTTGGATCTGGTAATCGGCCAACATATATGCATATGAAATAACAACAACTAAGGCGTACATTGCGCTACAATATACCACAAAAATAGCATATATATAAATTATTTTGCATACACAGATATTTACACAATCGCTTACCCCACCGTCGGTGCCACTGCTGAGCAAGTCATAAGAAATGATATTCAGAAGGGGACAACAACTATACTAAGTGAAACTCTATCTGTCGCAAGCAGTAAACATGCGACAACGCACACAGAAGTAGGAATGAACCTAGAGAGAACTGCTGCTGTATCACAAACAAACACGGCGATTGTTATACCTTTGTCAACACGAGCTACTTATAGCAAATTTGAGTTTACAGCCAATCAAACAACGAACAGTTTGCTACACAGTTTCGAATCTAACAGAGGTACTGTCGTATCAAATCCTAGTTTGAAACCAGAAACTACATACGATTTTGGAAGCATCGTTCCGCAGACAGCAGCAGTCGATATTGGCACCACAACAACTCCAATAAAATCAGCATTAAGCTTTGCAAATTCTACTAGCAATTTAGAAGAAATGTTTACAAATTCAACCACAGAATATGTAGCTAGCTATACAGCCACAGGTATCACCAAAATTGTTATAGTATACGCCATACGGTATTGTTATTCTACAGTAGACTCGTTATCGTGTGTTTCCAGTGGCTTCTATTTTCGAATAGTGTTTTACCAATTACTGAAATGAGTCAGTTGACCTTGTGTTTCTATGGGCGGCGAGGAGCCTAGTTGACTCTAGTTTATTTGTAGAAAACGATAATAAATCAATATCATTAATGATTTCATTTACAGAGAAAAAGCTCTACTTTGAAATTGGCATCGTCAATAAAACATACAGCAAGGAATTAGGTAACTCAAGTTCGGAAGCTTATAAAAATCTTTCAAATGAGGTGGAAAATGATCTGAAGAAAATTTTATCCAACGTTAGTGGCATATCCAATATTAAGGTGATAGCCTTTAGGAACGGCAGCGTCATATCGAGGTAAATAAATTATTGAATTACGAGAGATAAATTATTATATGTAGAAAACTAATAACCGGAAACATTTCTTCAGCATAGAAATGATGGTTGGCGACCAAATAACTTTCGACGCGATTGTACAAGGGTATTTGAACTCCACCGAAGACTTAAAGAAAGGTTTTGACTTACAAGGATTTGTCGCAGGTGAGTCGAGCGATTACAACGTAATTTCGGTTTGGATATGAAGAATCAAGGATTTGTCCCACGATAAAAAAAACATTCTGTAGTGAAAAATTGAACACGGATTTTTCTGTTTGTTTCAATGCCAATGTCCGACCTATCGCTTCCAGGCTGCATACCAAAACAATGCACAATATAGACTTGCACATATTACAAAATATCAAGTCATTATATTGTCTCTGGCATTCGCGTCTTGAAATATTTGATGTATATCTTGCACGAGCGCAGTCAACTATTTTTGTTAAGACTTCTGTTTTGCGTCAGTGGAGTCAGCTCTTGATATTCAGCCTGAAGATGTTAATTCTTAACCTTCGTCATTTTCTCTCATTCACAAAATATTTTATAAACTTCTCGCGATGATGAAGCATACATACTGTATGGAAATATACATGGACAGAGTTTTCATAATCGTATATGTATTTGAATATCACCATCTTCGACTAGCTTTTCTGATATATATGACACATCTGATCAGATGAACATGATTCCTATCACGTTTTTTTACTGGCGATTGGACTTTTGATCGAGGATCCTTTGGTGACATTATAAAAGATTCGATATCGGTATTCATTTAGCGAAAACCATACATTTACGCTAAGAAAATTGAAGGTTTGGAATTGCGCTAATATGAAGAAGTTTGTCACTGATTTAAAACTGACGTGAAAAAAAGTATTTCAACAGGAAAACTGTTGCGAACAAAATTATTTGTTGACATTTGTCAAATAAACCAGGGGTGTGCAACCTATTTTGCAGGCAGGCCAGATATCATTAACTGGGTAAAACCGCGGGCCGCACCTTCATTTAACATAGACTTTCTGTAAGTTGCAGGTACCAAATAGTGTCTTTTTGTTTTTGATCTTATGGCATTATTAGGGTCCTTGCAGAAATGATGAGTTAAAACGCATAAACTTCTGAAAACTGTTATTCAAATTTATTGTCACACCGAATTTAAACGAATTCAGTGAGAAATTTGCTGCTGAATTATTTTCCCGACTACTTTTATCTAAATTTGCTTTAATAGAAGTGCTAGCAATTCGATTTCCATTTTCCAGGTCTTCGTTTTTCAGGCGTTTTTTCACCACCGTTTCAGGAAAAAATATGTTGAGCTGTAAAGTGCCATATTTGAAGGCACTACTTGTTTCAAATGTGGAATGTTATCTTAGTTGACATGTTTTCGGTAAAAATCACCAGGATTCATTTCCAAATAATTTGCTGACAAATCTTATTCTAGATTAGATTTGGACAAGATCAACTTATAGGCTAAATCAGTTGCCTAATCTTCAATTGCCCGTTCTTACTAATTCATTAGAGCCTGCTCCGCACTTTTCCCAAATTGCTCGCTGCTCAGCAAGTGGCGACCTACAAAGGGGTCGCCAAGCACTTTTCAATGGGTCACCAAACTAAATAATTATGCATACGACTTTTTTCTGTAAAATTTATCTTACTCGGTGGTGGAAAAAATAAATTTGTTAATAAGCGGAAAAATTATAAACGAAAAACAAGGGAAACCAATTTCTAAGGCTTTGGGCTGACCAATCACAGAAGCCTCCCACTTCAGAACACTCTTACCACCATGGCACATTATCTGTTGACAGCACACATTTTAATTTGACTCTAAGTCTGTGGTTTCTAACTTTTTTCATTGAACTCCCCCCTTTGCCTATTTTGAAACTCCTTCCCTCTCTATGAATGAAACTAGTCTATTTATTCAATTTTTAATGGACCGCTCAATAATGTAATGCGAAAGTCGAGTTCTCGTTTTTCCACAGTTAGTGATTTATTATAAAAATCGAAATTAATATTTGTGTTGTACAATATATACTCAATGCGAAGGGCTTACGATATATATATATATATAAAAGTAAAATAACAACGGCAAAATTTCTTCCTTGGGCGGAATTCTCCCCGATTGGGATTTTCATTACCGTATTCTCTGGTACCGCCTAAGCCGATTTTGACTCCTGGTATGTTCTGGTCGAAAGATAATACACCCAAATAATCCAACCACAGTAAGTCAGGTTAAAAAAATAGGTCTCGGACCCGGATATAGGCTTTGCAACGCGAAGGGGACCAGATTAAACTAAATTAAACACTTGTTCCGATGGCCGCACAACATTCAAATTGGCACTTCACCACGGGTAACACAATTTTACTTTGCGGGCTAAAAATGGGAAGCATTGAACAGTAGCCTACGGTTTTGAAGTTTTCAAGTTGGGACGGAAGTCCTCCAATAATTGTAAAATTATATTCTGATTCAAACTTGGCGCAGTTGTAAAATGCCTCATTAGAAAACCATCCATCATTTTTGATCAGTAAGAAGAGTATTTAACAAAATAATGAAGTCCTCGTGAACTGACAATAACTGATGCTTGCGATTTGGAGGTACTATACTCGCCCTATACTCAGTGTGGGATAAGTACGCGTACGGTACGGTACCTAATGTGTCCCACTGCGACTCAAAGATACAGGGTAACTGGAGACGCGTCCTGTCCCTTGGGTCCCCAAATAATGTCTTCAATCTATGCACCAACTGACCAACACACACTGCAACCTGTACACCAACAATTCCGTAGACTTGTGTTGAAAGAAACTTTATTATCTTGTTTAAACACATCTAATGTTGACGTCAGTGATAACAGTGTTAGGGTTAGTGTCGGCGTTAGTGTTAGTGATAAATTGACTGTTTTTGACAAGGACTCAAAGAACAGCCATAAGTATGCTATAATACAAATAAAAACAATAAGTGACAGACGTATTCGATACAACAAAAATACAGCAATCCTCACAACCTATCGGACAATATATGGATAAACATAATATTTCAATTCTAGAATTCCTACCTGATAATCATTTAGTAATATAACCAGAAAATAGTAAAACCTATAAGCTATAATTTCTGCAGTCGCGCAGAATCCTCCCTAATAAGCAAAGCGCAAGAAGCGTCTACCTCGTGGCAAGGAAAGTTCTAGAAGGCCGTAAAGCGCGGGGGAATAAGTGACTATTACGTCACAGTAAAATGGGCAATGTAAACTCATAAAGCGTGACTAACTTAAAGTGCTTATAGTGAACGACTCAAGGTTCCATAAAATGCATGCAAACATTTCTTACATACCGGCCCCGAAAATTATATGAAATGTTATATCGATAACAGGGAAAATGATTTTCAAAAAACAAGAAAGGTTTGCTTGACTTCCAAAAACAATTGAAAGGATAAACACAGTAACAAATCAATAAAGATAACGAAATTGTCAATGCAAGACCCCAAAAAAATAAAAAGGGGGGGTAAAACCAAAAAATTATCTCCCTCAAAAATAATTCGAAATAGACACCTAATATTCCCATAGTGAGAATGTATGTTACGTACGTGTAACTGTGTATATGTGGATGCTTTATATGTAATGTGTATTGTGTGTAAATGTATCAAACAGCTTCTAGTAGACAAAGCTTCCTTATGTCACGCACATATGTTGAATTGGATGTGCGCACCTTCACTCGTCTGACAACTCCTTGATCATCAGGATATGTTTCTTCTACAATTGCCTTGGGCCAACATCCTCTTGGTGAATTGTCATCGTACATCAGCACAAGATCTCCAACTTGAAAGTTGCGTTGAACATTGAGCCACTTCTGTCGGCACTGTAATTGGGGAAGATATTCTTTTGTCCAACGCTGCCAAAATAAATCGAGTAATCGTTGAACATGTCTGTATCCTCTTCTATATTCATCCGTTCGAAAGAACACATCAGGTGGTAAAGATGGTTCTAATCTGTTTATCAAAATTGAGTTGGGAGAGAGGGCATTCAAGTCCTTCGGATCATCACTCAGTGGTGTGAGTGGTCTATCGTTGAGAATTCCCTCCACTCCTGTAAGAAGAGACCATAATGAGTAGTCATTGAGAGACTGGCCATCCAAAAGAGCTCGGAGAATTCTTTTCACCTCTCGTACCATTCTTTCTACCACTCCATTTTGGTGACTAGAAAGAGGAGGCGAAAAATGCCATTGTATACCCTTTTGAGATAGAGATGTGTCAATCAGTTTGGAATTCCATTTGTTAATACCATCTGCAATAGCTTTGCTTCCAGCCACCAAGTTGGATCCATTGTCTGAATATACATGAGCAGGTTTCCCACGTCTAGATGTAAACCTGAAGAAAGCTTGCAGGAATGCTGAAGTATCCAAGGATTCTACAACTTCAATATGTATTGCTCTTGTAGCCATGCATGAAAATATACAGCCATATCGTTTATGTTCGCTTCGTCCCCAATTTGACTTTCACAGGGCCAAACAGATCAACTGCAGTGTAGTAAAATGGTGGGTTACCTGCAGTAACACGAGAAAATGGTAGATCTGCCATCCACTGCTCTCCTACTTTTGCAGAACGTCTGTTGCAAGCAACACAGTCACGAACAACCTTAGCAACAGCAGATTGTCCCTTCAAAATCCAATATTTGCCACGAACAGAGGAAAGTGTGTGTAATGTACCAGAATGTCCAGTCATTTCATGATGTTTGGTAATAATCAGTTTTGTCACATGATGGTATGGTGGAAGAATAATCGGATGCTTCTGATCAACTGGTAAGCCAGAGTTTCGAAGTCGTCCACCTACACGCAGGATTCCATCTTGTACAAAAGGGTTGCATTTGAGAAGTGTTTTCGAAAATTGTGTTTTGAGTTTCTTTTTGTTCTGTAGATTCAACGGTACTTCCTCAGCATCTGTATTATCTTCAAAATATTTGAGCTCCTCTGAGAGGGATGATTGTTGTACTAGTTTCATAATTTCTTTGGTGGCGCAATCTAATTCCTCCACAGATAAAAATCCCAAAGTTGGTGAATTGTCAGAATGTGAGAATTTCCAAGTTGCATATGTACGAAAACGTAGTAGCCATGCAACAGCTCTACGTAGCTTTTCGAATAATGAGTAACGCAATAACAGTTCATGTAATGGAGAAGAATCTGCGAGATCT